AGCACAGGCGAAAGAGTTTTCAGCCAAGTGAAGAAGGCACACACGCAGTTCCTCTCCTCCATGTCGAAAAAGCCTCTTGAACAGTTGTTAGTTGTGAGATGCAGCCAGTCTGGAAAGTGCCATGAACAAGTGTTCGACGGGAACTTCCTAAGAAAAGCAAAAGCTGCAACTTCCTCAGTGTTCGCCCAACCTTCTACTTCTAAAGAATAAGACATTTCGTGGAATGTATGATGTGTTTGTGCCCTAGTTGAAACATTTTTCTTACCTAAACCAAGTTTTTGAAGAATAAAACAGCTTTCGTATTTTTTCACCTAATTGCAGTGTTTTTGGTATCCCTGTAGTATTTTCAGCATTGTAGGGTTGGCAGGTCTGAGCTAAAGGTTTACGCTTGCGGGTTTAGGAGTCTTATCCCGCTGTCGCAGTCGGGGAGGCGGTCGATGGCATTTTGGTTCATGGTGCCAGGGAACAAGAGTGGGTCCCGCTGGCGGATGTTAATGGCTGGCCATCATTGTTCCAAGGCGATGTGGGAAAAGCTGCAGTTGGTGGCCTGGTTGAAGTATCGTGGCGATGCGGAGGGCCTGTAGCAGGGGTCTTAGCCCCTTCAACAAATAATACGCGATGGTGAATGACAGGTCAAACACGTTTAATACGCTCAGCTCTATTTCGTCAGCGTTCTATTTCTCTTCTTCTTTAGCAGAACTTCTTCATAGAAAAATAGCTCGTGACGTTCTATTTTAACATAAGGTTGTACACGGTCGTATAGGTAGTGAACTAGTATCATCGTTAAAATTTTATATACCAGTTCGTCTTGTTCGTGGACTAAGACTAGTGTATTTATATCTCCATTGAATTGAAATTGTCGCCATTGGTATGGTGCACATTTGTAGTAATGTACTGTCCTCTCATGTTGACATCTTTTAACATAATTTAAAATTTAAAACAGAGCTGAATTAATATATTTTTAGTTCCAGATTTACATGTCTTTTGCCAATGGCAGATATTGTGTTAAATTCTTGTACTACCTTTTATGTGTCGCCACACTATAAGCTATTGATTGTTTGGGGACATGATGCAAATAAAGCAGGATTATTATAAAGCATTATTATATACTGCCGCGCGCGCAGCTGGCCAAGTAGGCAGCGCGCGCGTGGCCTAACGGTTATCGCGCTTGCTTTCCATGCTGAAACCCAGGGTTCGATTCCTGGCCGCGGAGGCACATTTTTGTTGACTCTGTAAAGTAATGTTCTGGTAAATTCGAGAACCATGTTGCTTGTTCGACGTCGGAATACTCTACACGCCGAACCTTCTACGCCGATCATTCCAGAAGCCCACAGGTGTACATAAGGGGCTCCGCGTGGCGATCTGCAGTCAGTCTCGCCCCAGCGTTCGACTCTGCTGTCACGCCGACTTCGACGCCCGCGACGCTCTGTTATTACCTTTTGTACCCTTTTATTTTTGGCACAAGTTCGCCACATTAAACGTTTATTTCTTCTTGTTTATTTATTGTTTTTGGTCACCACCCGTGACAATACACAATCCTGCACTGTTCATCCATACTAAACATAACAATATTTTAGCAGAAGCTACCGGAACAGAGAACGTTTTAATTTTAATACGCGAGGAATTAAGAAATAAAGCTAATTAACGATGGTACCCCAAAAAAAACTGCGTTTAGGTTCCTCAGGCGTTGCTAAATTTGAAGTTTGGGCAAGTTGGTACTACATAGCTAAAAAGATGAAAACAACGCAAAAAACAAAGGACCGGATTCAGAAGGAACATGGACAGAGCGCTGCACAAAAAACAAAGTGCCGTCCCTAAAAAGCCCTACAGAGGGCGCGCGCTAAACCCAAGGGAATGAAGCGGGCAGCCCTCTGTCCGTGTCTTCCTTGATCCGGTCCTTCGCTTTTGCGCTGTTTATATCTTTTTTGCCACACGCGTCCCACCTTCGCGAATGGTAAGACTCTCTGTGAAAAGACTCGTCCAGCTTGGATGGTGTGTTACCATAACCCAAGACACTGTCCAATAGGAACACGATACCTTACGTGCACCTCATTAAAGTTCAAGCCTTATTTTTTGAAAATATTGGGCGACGAGACAATTTGGAAGAAAAATCGTTCGAAGCAGCGTTAACTTTACGGAGTTAGGAACGCGTTTAGAAGCTGACTGGCTTTTGACAGTTACATATGGTAGAACCGGGATAATGCCTCTAACTTCAGAAAGACTGCTGCACCACTAAAGGGAAATTTAATGTGATGGCTACGTTATTTAGCCCATGTACCGATATCTTAGGGCATTCTGCTTCAGCTGGTTTAAGTCTCGGTAAACTCGGACATGGTCTTTCTGCTTTCGAAGAGGGAACTATTCCGGCGCATAATCTGGTAGGCTCTTGAACTTTTCGTGTTAAAGGGATGCTGAACCGAAATCTGGATTCCCCAAAACACGCGGCAAAAGCGTGCAACGGGATGCTACAAACACCAAAGCATCACTCATACAGCGATATCTCGCGCGGATGACCGTATTTTTCAAAAAAAGAGGCGCAGTTGGCAGGAATGTTGACGTCATATTTCTCCGAGAAGGAGAGGGAACGGCCTCGCGTCTTCTCCGCCTCGCGGCCTTGAGGGAGCAAAGCGAAGAGAGGAAGAAACTAGGTATCTTGACGGTCACGCGCCTCGCCGGCCTGGTTCAATCTCGACTTCTTTTTCCAAAAATACGGCCGTCCATTTGAGATATCGCCTTACTAGTAGGGTTGAGGGTTTGCAGCGTCCCGCCTACATCTCCAGCATTGCTTTTTTAAAATCCAAATTACGGTTCACCATCCCTTTAACCCGTTGGTTCTATATTGCCCAGTTTGTGCTTAACTAACTACATCACTTATTGATATGGGTGTGCGACGCGCCATGCGAACCGGAATGTGGAAGAATCATGCTTCCACGAGCCAAAAGGACAAATATCAACGACCGGCACCGACCAACCTCGGTGAAAGACATCTCTCGTTGAGGGACAACCTGCTATTAGAAGTTTGTCCCTCTCCCTGGCAGCAGCGATACAAAGACAAGTGACAAAAAGGAACGTTAGAGGGACTGATGTCAGCAACAATATTCACGAAGAAACTAGCAAAATCAAATCGGGTGTCATCAGAAACGTTGGTGACAGTGTTGTAACGGATGCTACGAATAACATTTTATACGTTTTTTGTCTTTTCGCGATTGATTATCAACATTAAAGTAAGCAAGCACTCAGATTGTGAGTCATATTTTAATGAAACTCAATTCAGTTCTCGAGAAGCTGCTGCTTCAGATTATCAAGGTTCAGCACTTCATCTGGAACGTGAATAATTTGTATTACCCCACCAATGGTGCGATTTCTTAGGAGCCATTGGTGCCACGTAAAAAAGGAGGGATGAGCAATTCTTCACACGTTGTGGACACTTGTTGATTGCTGTCCACTTCACAAAGCCTATCAGCTTACGCAGGTAGAGAAAAAAGTAAACCTTGCCCCATATACACAATAGTCACATTTTTGCTGCGGTAAAAATAATATTTAGAAGAAGCAAGAGCACGTGCCTCACGTTTGACACGTTTATATTGTAATTAGAAGCTACTCTGTGGTTTTCTTTACAGGGTCGCTTTGTAAATACAATAACGCTAGAAATCAATTTAAAAAGCGCAGCAAGGCGGAGTTTAAGTAAAATGGAGTTTACTAGAAACCAAGATATAATCTAATTCTCAAAATATTTTTACATAAAAGACATTAACTTATAGACGGTACACAGCGACAGATCGATGTCCCCGCGAGAAAATAGCGTCGGTTGAATATTTATACATATTATTTTAATGTCGATCATAAGTGTTCCTCAGTTAATCAAATGATGCTTAGTCACGACCAGGTCCGTACATATGGTAACACTTTGGGGAAACTGCGCCTTAAGACAGAGGTCAATTTGTGTAGAGCAAGAAAGAAGGAAAACAGACAAGAAGCAAATATCTGTGCTTTGTATTTTCTCGCGTGTGTGCTTTATTGGCAGTCGATTGTCCGTACTCCTCTAGAAGCTTCACTGAAAGAGTTGTGCACAAAAGGAACTGTGGTGCACTGATGTCGGCAGACAAACTGTTTACACTTGACTTACATGCTTGCATCAACACCCACTCGCGCGCACACACTCACACAAACGCACGTACACGCACACACGCACCATATGATGTTTATCTTGGTAACAAACGGAACTACTTGAGGAGGGTTGATGTTGCCAAATCGACAAAACGACACTGCCCTATTGACACTTTTTCAAGAAACATCAGTAGTTGTAGCCGCTACTCCTGTAATTGTACGCTACTACTACAGGGTGATACAAGGAGACGCCAGGCTCTTTAAATTGACCGGAAAATTCGGTTTCTTAACCTATCGCGCTACGACTTTGCGCAGCGTTGCCCACAGATGGTGCATTATTTTTGTAAAATTTGCAGAGAGCGAATTTATCTGAGGAAAAAGTAAAGAAAGAAAAATGCTTAGCTCCTATGGAAACGCAGCGACGCCACCGGTCTTCAAACAACACGGCGCCGTTTCGCAAGGGAGACAAGAGATGGCGCAAGCGGTCGCGACGCCAACTGCCACCAACGAACGAGCAGACGACGCCGAGAGCCGGCGTCTTTAGCAGACAAGGAACTGCAGTTCCTTGTTGTTACCGCGCCTGTTTTTGTTTCTGCGATTGTCGCCGCCTGCGGAGCGCGCGGTGCTTTTGAGTCGAAAAGAATGTTTGCTAAAGACGCTGGCTCTTGGCGCCATATGCTCGTTCGTTGGCGGCGTTCGTTGCGTCATCTCTTGTGTCCTGTGCGAAACGGCACCGTGCTGTTCGAAGACCGGTGGCGTCGCTGCGTTTCCATAGGAGCTAAGCCTTTTTCTTTCTTTACTTTTTCCTCAGGTAAATTGGCTCTTTGCAAATGTTACAAAAAAAATGCACCATCTGTGGGCAACGCTGCACCAAGTCGTAGCGCGATAGGTTAAGAAACCTAATTTTCCGGTCAATTTAAAGAGCCTGCCGTCTCCTTGTATCACCCTGTAGTTTTTCTTAGCTTGTGAACTTGTGTGGGAGACTAAATCACTCGTGAACGGTGACGAACAACTTAATTTTTCCTGTGCCATCTCTCACGTAATGCATGATTTCTTTAGCAAACGATTTTAACTTGATCAGCGACTCAAAACCTGACCGGCGTAATTTTGACTTGCCGACACTTGCTATCAGATCTACACATGTACATACTAACTTTTTCTACGTACCTGATTTAACTGTTCAATTTTCCGCTTATACTTTTATTTAATCAAACAAGAAACTGTCAAAATCTCTGTTAAAAATTAAGCTAGCAAGAAAGCGTTTGAAGAAGGGGAAATATTATCACAGAACGCTTTCATACGACTCTCCTGCATCGCAAGCGATAAAGTTTAAATGAAGGTTAAACAAAGAAGTGCACGATTTTTTCGAATAGACGGAAAGGCCTCTAGCGTATTTATATTTTTGTGTCTCAGATAGCCAATTTTTTACCATGGTCCCTGAATTGTTTGTCCTCCGACATTCTCTTGCATTCACTCCTTTTATTTTTCATACTCAGGTGTGCTGCGCGTATTATTTACAAACAGGCGGCGAGTTACACGGAGCACAGCACCACTGCCAGAAGCACTACATTCTGAATATGAGACTGCAACTCGCCTAAGAACTCAAATGAACGAAAAAACCAAATGTGTGGGTAGTGTGATATTGCATTGAACACGTCTCGATAGCTTAGAACCGACACTTTATAACACTTATTACACAGCCTGCATAGCAGACGTCATTAAGTCCTGAACACTCCAATGAGTGAGTCACGAGATATTAGCAGCTAAACACATATCTCTTCTGTGTTTCGCAAACAAACTAATTTAAAGAAAAAGTGAAGTTTGCACCAAACTGCTGTGGAAGCCATTATGCGGGATGAGTAAGTCGTTTGTATTGGGGCTTTATTGGTGTGAATGTGCATAGACCTACGCACGAGAACTTAAGTCAAAGAAAGTACAACATTTTTGAACCAGCAGTCAGCGAACTAAGGGTTGCTTTACTTCATTATTACAATTTTGCCTGCAAGAGTCCATGAACACCATCACTGGAAAGTTCGTGGGTTTATTAAGGGCTTATTTTTTAATGAATGGGCCAACGATTTATATTTATTGTTACAACGGGGGACTTTGACGTGCAGCATCTACTCGATTTTGTGCACCACGCAGGGTGGAGGTAGACTGTCTATTTAGCAGAATGCAGTAAGTTAAGATTACTGTTTTTAGGCGAATATACCTGAAGTTATAAAAAAAAAGATACTGCCAGTGTGGAAATATTGCCATAATATTGGGAGACTTTTTGTACAGTGGTTGAGCGTATTATCACATGTGAACAATGAAGGGCAGGAAAGAACTTAAGAGGAGCATTAACAGTGAAGGAAAAAATATGTTTTCATTTCGAGTTCGAAATGTGAGAGCTGTGGGGGTGTTTCTCTATGAAGTCTTATGACAAGGGGGCAAAGACGGAGACGGCCTTGGACGCTTGTTCGGGTTGACTTAATGTTTGTTCTATGCACCGTGCAATGGGTTGTGATAACAGTATGAAATACACTCAGATGAGGAATTATAAATAAATTAAGAAACTAGAAGGAACGACACACACTCCAACTCTGTATACAAAAACACAAAGGCATAGCATGTCCAAGAACATTGACAGTCCAGATAAAAACTACATTCTGTGCAGTGTATTTATAGGGCCGTGTGTTTTCACGCCCGGTGCATTATCTCGTTATACTTTGGCTGGTCGTATTTACAAGGGAGAGATAAGCAGTTCACTGCATTCACACTTAGGAAGTCGCACTTCCCGATGCCGGGAAAGTCGTAATGGCACAATGGACACGCTGACCGAAACACTCTCCGGATCGAACGCGTGGAGGCGAGCCCCGTTTTTCAGACCAGACTCAGGTGGGAGCCGAGATCTCTTTGGATTCAATACACAAATGGGGAAAGGACAGTTTTTTCTTCGCGAGGTGCACAGTTGTACTCCAGCAGAGTAGTGTCACCCGAGGCGTCGCATTATCGGATTCTAAGGGTGAGTCGAAGCGTCCAGGTTTGCCCCGGACTTGTCTCATTTGGTATCTCGCCCAGAAGCCCCCAAGAAAGCTTAAAGACCAAGTTTCTGTTAGTTGATCGAGAATTCCAAGAGCTGCTTCTACACGGCTGACGGTGGTCACATGCCTCGTGTCTTCAAAGCATTGGCTTGCGAAGCCAGAGAGCATGCTCTGCTTTCCGGGGTAAAGCCTCGGCTTATGACCCCGTAGTACTCCAGCGCCGGACATTCAGGTTCGTTTGAGGGATCACACACACTGATGAAACCACTCCCTCGTCGAGGTGAGGACCAAGAGGCACCCCCAATGGAGACGAGCACAACGCAGATTCTAGGGCTTGGATTCGGGCGACATCAAACGTTCTCTCACCATATCTTTGCCACGCCTTCAGCGTCTCGTTGATCACCTCGCCGACCATCTCGCCGTGTGCTCGCAACGCCCGACAAGGCGATCTTATGAGATCTCGGCTCAAGACTCTGGAGAGTATCCCAGGTTCTTCCGCTGGAGGAACAGGTGGATCTCTCTAAAGTTGGGCCTCTCGCTGTCGTTGCGCTGCCAGCACTCGCGCATCAGGTCGTAGATTTCTCGAGGACAGTTGGGTGGCTGTGGCAGAGTGGATTGCAGCGCGTCGTTGTGGTAGAAGTGTCCCACGTTCTCGATGACTTGTTCGTCACTTAGGGACGCGAATGGCTGTTGCCGAGCGAACGTCAGGATCTCCCAGAGAGTGACGGCAAAGGCCCACACGTCGCTTTTTGTGGTGAACGTGCCCTGTTGGGAAATAAAAAAAAAAAGAGAACGAGACATTGAAGAATACCTTCATTCAAAGATAACGCTGGTTTATCTTTAAAACGAAAGTCGACTGACTCATCTATGTACAAAAGGAAAGCCTGCTTGACCCACAGAACACAGTGGGGTATGATGCGTTTTTAGTTTAATTAGAAGTTAAGACCTGCATCGCATGGAACAATAAATTATCTTAAGACTTAGAAACAAAAATAGTAATTAACGTCTTATTACATGCATTAAAAGAAACATTTAATTTCCTCCCATGTCAGCCGCTTCGGTGACTTTGAGGCAAAGTTCCAGCCTGCGTACCCTCAAGTGGCTAGTTCGAATCCCGGCCAAGGTGCCGCAGTCGGATGGAAGCTTATAACGAAGAAAGCTCCGTGTAACCTAGATTTCGGTTGCACGTCAAAAGGTCCCCACGTGGTCGAAATTATTCCTTAGTCCTCCGCTGGGGCGTGCCAGATGCCCTTCGTTGTTCTCGCACATAGAACCCCAAAAGAAACTTCAAGCTGTATCATAACTATAGCAAGGAAATTAAACAACTAGAAACTGTATTTATAATAAAAAAATTACAATGAAAATATTGAATTACAATGTCACCCAGCAGCATTAAGAAAAAAATTGTTTCCACCTACTTGTAATAAAACAAATCAGCAACATCATGCGAAAGACCAACATTTACGTATCTACCTGTTTACTTAGGATCAGTTCGAGCTAGGAGCAGTAACTGTATGGTGAAAATTGTTGCACATACTAGCTAGTAGCTTATAAATGTGCATCTGTCCTCCGTCACCTGATGAATGGACATATGACATATAGTCACAAGATGAAGAAAGTTAATATATGGGGTTTGTTACCTTTTATTACCACACCACTTTACTTATGAAAATCGCTTGTAATTTATCTTAAATTTAATTCTGACGAAAGTCGCTTTCCGACAAAAAAATATTTTGTCGCTCTAAAATACAAATTTTGTTTCCTAGGATTTGCAATACTCTCCATGGCTTGCAGCTGCCGAAGCTACAAAGATCTAAGGGCAGATCATAACGACCGGTACATTTCCTGAGCTCGCTCACCAGTGCGTGGGCTCACAGCCACAGCTGTTACACAGGAAATACTGTGGATAGGTAGCTGTAGCACTCTTTAAATAAGAAGCAATGGAATAATAAGAGATCGAAACTAGCATGCCTGAGCGCCATCTAGTAGAGACAGAATGACAAGCCCATATTCAATATTTTTCTTCTCGTACACCAGGCGGTGTCACAGGATGGTAGGTTAAAAACAGGTGCTTTAGTGTGTTAAAAAACTCGGAACAAATTTAATAAAAAAAAAAAAAGGCGCGTGATTGCCGTTTGTGAATTTATGAGGAAAGGGGAAGGGGTTAAAAGTTAAAACAGCTTTTAATTACTGTTTATCTTAAGCTTACTCAGCAAAGTGCCGACTAGAGAAGCCTCTTCACTTAAAGAATCCCCTCAACGTCATTGGCTTATTGTCATTCTTCCGATCATCTAAGCTTTCATGATGCATTATTTGTTTAGAGACAAAAAAAAAAAAATCTGAACAACATCACATTTTCGTGTTCTGGTCAGCATGTTCGCAGGATTATTAAGCGTGACGAATGGGCTTTCAAGTCAAAAATAAATTTCATGGGTTCTGGGAAATTGCGCATTGCCTGTGGTTTAAAAACATAATTAGAGCACCCTTATATTATGACCTTCCTCGCGACCGGGGTACTAATATCGGTTCCAAAGTAAGCTTCTCTAAAACAATGTAGAAAAAAAATAGTTTCGGTGTCCTGTCGAGGATTCAGCACTACATACGATAACAAAGAGAAGAGAATGTGGAATGAGAACCTTTAAAAAGTGGCATGCACCCACCCACTAGCGGCTGTGTTAGAAGACCCTATCGATACAGTGCATGCATTGTTGTATACAAGACGTATGCCCACAGAATGTCATTACTTTTAGACACATTATGTTACTTGACCGATGCCCACAGGATTCACTCAAAAAGGCTCACTTTCCTGCAGAACACGTTTACAGTTAATTACCGCGAAAAATAGAGGGATCACGGAGAATGACGAAGCTCAGAATGTGATTAGGCCCGAAAACTCTAATGTGCATAGTATCAATGAGCAATTGAAACGTCATGCCTATTGTCCCACCGTACAACATATTTTTTGTCTGCGCTGAGATCATTTTTTGTTGTGATTGTATGTTTTCGAGTAGGAGACTGAACTCACTGATTCTTTCAAGAGTGTACCCAAGGTGACAATGACCATTTTGGCAAGCAAAATATAATGCCTTCTACTTCTTTTTAACGGTGTGGAAAAGATAACAGCAGTTCCCACATACCATTAATATGCTCTCCCAAGCCATCCAGCGTATTGGCAGCATAGCACGCCCCTCAATGCGGTAGTAGTCGCAAGCGTACAACTGCCGGCTCATGCCAAAGTCGGCGATCTTGATGGTGTATGCGTTGCCCACGAGACAGTTTCGGGTTGCCAGGTCCCGGTGCACGAAGTTGAGCGACTCCAGGTACTTCATGCCCGACGCGATTTGGGTGGCCATGAAGATTAGGCTCCCGTAACTGGAACAAATGGGAGACAAGATATCAAACAGGGGGAAAGGAGGCAACATGGGTTAAAAGAATACCCTGGTGGCTACCGGAAGGTTTACATCGAATCAGCAGTGTTCCAGAAGAGTTTAAAAAAAGGATAGTTGACCATGGCTTAAATGTGAGCATAATCGAGAGACACAGATAGGAAACGAGCTTGCTTGGTACCATTCGTCTTTTGAAGGTTCTATATGAACGTCAACCTCTACGTTTCTTTGATGTTCTTGTTGGTGCAATAAGTCGTGAAAACAAAATCCTGCTAGGCCAATACAAACAAATGAAAAAGCAGCCTTTGAATTCGGACTAATAACAACGCTTTCGCCGTTGTGCAATATTACACTTGAAAACTGCCTTTGCACCAGGTGTTCCCTCAGAGAACATGGAAAGCCAATCACTGAAATCTACGAAAAGAGGTTAATGAACGACAACGCGTAAACACTTGAGACCTAAAAATAAAGTGGGGGATGTGACACTCAGCATGGCATCTTACATGTCCAGGTTATGCTGAGTGTAACATCGCATACTATATTTTCAACCAAAAACTAAAGATGTGGGAAGACTGGTTTAAATTGAAAAACACTGAGTAATTCCTAGCTTGTTTGTTGTTAAAAAACCGGTCATTGTGGCTTTCGCTTGCAGTGTCAAGAATATCGAATGATGCAGCCACTATTCGCGCACCCATACCTAGGGCACATTTTTGGCGCTTTCTGTAGAACGCAGTGACTGGCCTTTCCAGTGCTCCAAGTAGTAGTAAAAGTACGGCCCTTTCTATATTGACACTGCGATCTCCGGAATCTATTATAGTCCCTGGCTGACTAAGGCGAGTTGTGGAACTAGAATTGTAGAAAATGTAAAAAAAAAATAACATCGTGATTTTTAGAAAGTTTAAAGTTTAGTATTTTACATCAAAGGCCTCTTCTTTGCGATCTACAATTAATTTTAGAAAATACTATTTATAAGTGAAATAAATAATACATTGCACTAGCTCAGGAAGTGAAATACTACTTTGAAGCCCATCTCTCGAAGCGGTATTTTTTATTCTGTTTCGCTCATGGAGCTTCTATCTTCGCAATTATATGAACTATTTTTTTTTCCATTCATTTGCTTACACTCTCCGAGTTTCACTCCTTTACGTGAGACTCTAACTTTGTCAGGTTACTTCTTAATTTATAACGTGGTAATTCACCCGCATGTCATTTGTGTCCGCACGAACGAGGTAAAAATGCGAATTGAAGATGATTATGTAAGAAACTCTAAAATGCCAGAATGTCACGTTGTGTAGCAAATATTTGGGAATGCTGTCCAAGTCTAACGAGCCTTCTATCATATTTATTTAACTCTGCAGGGTTTCTACGAAGTTAAAGACAGACTTGTTCTGTAAAAACAATAATTGAGAAGTTACCATAATATTTTGGTTGTTCCACCATACATGCATTACCTACATGATCTACTCCAATATTTATCAGGATCTTCCCTAAACTAAAGTTTTTGTTAGTCCCTACATCCTGCCTTAAAAAACGCAGTACGTCACTTCTAATCTATACACTTTTTGCTGGATGATCTGTACTTCGGCGGTATTATAACTTGGTATTTTTCCTGTTGGCCGATTTGTCGTAGAGCTGCACTTATGGAGCTCTCTTCCCTGCCTCCCTCGCCCATTTTCAATATCGGAGTAAATAAAACGAGTTGAATTGAATTGAAATGTCGGCTCATGCCACTATCCCGTTGGTAGCGAAGCGAGAATAAGGGGCTCGTGACTCGGAACGCCCTCCGTGTCTTAAGCTACCACTAGCAGTAGGGGCATCACGACGTTCTTACCTGAGGACGTTGTTGGCGATGGGAGGTGCAAACGTGTCAGGCAAGTGGTGCTGCAGGAACTGGTGCAGGTCGCCGTTCTCCATGTACTCGACAATCATGGTGAGAGGTTCGTCCCGTGTGCAGACGCCGAGCACGTGAACAATGTTCGGGTCCCGCAGCCGCGACAGTATCTTCACTTCCTTGAGGAAGTCAGCACGCGCATGCTCTGTGGCGTTCTTGCGAAGCGTCTTCACGGCCACAAGCTTCTTGGTGCCGTAGCTAACGGGAACGTCTACGAGTTCAGGGATTCCCTCCGCCTCGCACAGGTGAACCTGGTGGGTTGAACAAAGCATAGCGATAGTTCATTAAGCAGACGCAAAGCTAAATAGTGAATATCATATTTCGTTTGATGTGGCCAGGGACCACCTTCTTAAAACAAACATTTTTTATTACATTTTTCACATTACATCTATTGTCAAGGCTAGCAGGCGAGCTAAATAACACGCTCAAGAGGTTTCCTTCACATAATCGTGTGCTACTGCTGTAAAATAGAGGCGCCAGAGTGTATATTTGCCAAATATTTTGTTTCCCTGGATGCTGACACATCATGATGCCTTTTATAGTCGTAAGGGCTTTTTTGCTTTTGATATCTTTATATTGTGCGTGCTTTACCTCATTACTATACGAATATGAGCATGTCTTTCCATGCACCTCAATGTACGGCCCTAAAAGGTCTGCTTGCCATTGCTAGCTTTTGTTGCCGGGAACCTCAGAAATACTCGGGATAATCAATAATGCTTCGAACTTGAAATAAAGAAAGAGCATCAATAGTTTCCTTGGCAGTGAATGAAAGCTACGTTGGGACAGGTTTACCGGAATAGCAAACTCAGAAAACCCGATGTACACTCACAACTTGAGAAACAAAGAGAGAGATATCAATAAGAGAAAGTGTCGTCAGTTTTCTGCACAAGTCGACTGTTAATTATTACAGACCATAGACATATTTTAATATGTGTGAAAAAAGGTAGCAGTCCCAGAATACAAGAGGACGTAAAATAATAATTATTTGCAATACAAATGTTGATTGTTATGGTACCTAGCTTTTATTTTCAAACGAGGTATATTTTTTACGTAGGTCAAAATCGTTGCTTATTATTTAAAATGTAGCATAATTTGGCATATTTACTGAAAAAACAAGCGTAGTCTTGATTTTTAATAAATTCCTTTCTAAGCTTTATTTTTTCTAAATTTTAATGTTTTTTTTTTAAACAAAGATTGGATAACTTGCAATGTTCTCTGCTAGGTTTTCTAGAATATCGTAAAACAAATCGAAAGTAAGAGAAGATTGGATTCTTCATTTTAGTTCTACATACTAAAGCTAAGAGAGACTAAACACAGGAACAGAGAAGACGTATAGTGTATATGGCCTTCTAAAAAAAGTTCGGATATGGCATAATCGTTCTTTGTACAGCGTTTGTATTGAGTTTGAGAAATAAAAATAGACACCACTGTAACTGTCATACACATAAGTAATTAAGTTAGTCATTCAACGGCTACATTCTACATCATGAAAATACAATACCTTTGTTTACAAGATAAAACAGCAGTGTTAATGATTTTGCATTAACAGTGCTGTTTTATTAGCATTCTTAACACTACAACATTAACTGTCTTATGGAGCAAAGCCGGCAAAAACGGCAACTAAATTCCCATTGGCTGGGCGTTGCCTGTAGCAGCTAAGCGGCACCTAAATTCCCAGTGGCTTCGAAACTTTACCAGGGAGGTTCCTGTAAACAAAGTAAGCTTTGGAAAGAAAATTTCGTACATTTCGATCTAGGTGGGAATCGAACCCGGGCCTTTGGGGTGCGAGAGGAGCACGCTTGCCCGACGCCGCGGCGGCTCCATGGGTCCGGCTAACTAAAACTGGGTCTGGTGCGTGCGTCATGCTTTCGCATTCCCACACTTAAAAAGCTTCAAGTGTATCCGCCAATGTTTTATTTTTTTTTACAATAATATTTACTTTTTTATGTTGGGTGCTTAAAACAAAAGTTATCTCGACTGTAATACGAATAAATTACAAATCGTTTCTAGAAACGAGTTAATCTTAGAACACTAAACGACTCCTAAAACAAAATGTCTAGGAGCATAAAACAAAGTGCACCTACCTCCCCAAACTGCCCCTCACCAAGTTTCTCAATGAACCTGATCCTGTGGCGGGGTACTTCCCGTACAGGAGGCAGTGTGACACCTCCGGAGCCTTCCTCTCCCGATGACACGTCCAGGCTGGGCACGGAGTACACCGTGTTTCCGCTCACACCCTGCGCATCACGTTGGGACATGGCAATGGTTACACAAAAGACATCTCCACAAAAAGCAACCACAAATGCACACAAACGCGCCTTTCGGTGACAGTCGTTTTTACTTTTTCTTCCAACGCTCTCGTGGAGTCTACTATCGAGCTTGTAAGAGATTTCAATTTGACTTGTTCAGTCCCTGGGATAACCTACATAACCCACAGGAACAAACCCAAGCTGGACACGTTAGCAACAGGTCTCTGTCTGGTTCTGAAGGCAAAGATGTTTCTTTTTATACAAATGTTCACAATATATTACCGCTGCATTATATTTTTTTATTAAACGTTCATTTAAAAAAGTAGCCAGGCCGGTGTCTGTTGTTTGGTATATCTGTGTTCCATCGCTTCCCCGGTAACAGCGACATTTATTTAGTATTTTTCTAGCCACGATAGTTTGGTCCTATTGCCTTGTTGCGTCTGCCAGAGTATACCATGGCCGTGAACAAGTAGTGCTGATACATTTTGGCCTCATTTGATCCGAAGCAATACTGAACATTTTAAGGCCTTGCACAATCAAAAGACCGCAACCTCATTTTTTTTATGCACCATGACGTTGCAAGTGCATTATCGCTTTTTGGACAACATTTTTAATTAATACCGTCGAACGATTTGCTTATTGATGAAATTATGAAGTGCTTTTCGGTAACCAACTGCTTAGCTTTTAGCTGGTGTTAGAGACTTCCTATATAGCACAGAAGTTGGTCACTTCATTGGCTGTTCCTAAACAGATACTGGGAGAGCTCGGCCCATTAAGTCCCTAGACAACGAGCAAAAATCAAGGTCGGAAAATGCCAGGCATCCGGGGCCTTGCATTTAGTTTGACCATTGGCAAGTGAGTGTCATTTGTATGTTAATCACCAAACAAGAACTATGCAGCATTTACTTGATTATTTCCTGACCAAAAGACAGCGGCCAGTCATCAAATGACAGAACATTGCAGGAATCTGTAAAGCAACATCACCCAGGCATCGGCCGATGAAAAACAGTTTTGCTATACATGGATATGACGATGATTTTTTCCTTATTTGAGTTGTGCGTTTTAGCTATTGGTGTTTGTTTTCCAACCCCAGTAACAGCCCTCGACGTCCAGAGAGTATCAATAAATTAAACTATATATAAAAAAAAACAATTTTCTTCAACACGAAATAAACGAATTGATACAGGTTAAAAATGTTCAGACCAGATAACCCTTGAAAAACAAAACAAAGAAACATTGTGATAAACACTAGAAAACAGGAGCTGTAGACTTACTAGGGCAAACACAGTTTGCATGAAAGATTGTGCTTTTTATTCTCTGAAACTTTCCAACTCAAATTTAAGCTATTAAGTGTCTTGTTTTATTTTAGTGCAATATATACCCGAGGAACGAAACAAAACTTTTTAATTAAACTTCGCTTTCACTGAGTTCACTGAGTTCATGGGCTAGTAAAAGTTGCGTATATCTTCTTTTTTAATATTTTAGTTGAACGACTGCGCTCCGAGTGCGACAGATATTTGCTTAGGCAAGTCTACTCGAGGGTGTTCTTGAAACAAGTGAAACGGTACTTGGCCCTGAAGCATTTGAGCATGCCAGGGCGATGTGTGCGCACGTATGAAAGGGTGTCATGCGGTATCCATATGAAAAAACAGAGATATTCCAGACACTGCCTATTTCCACAAGCTTATGCGTAAAAAAGAATACTGAATAGATAAAGCTCCCATTGGCTAATTTATAAAGCTATTATGGCGGTACTTACTGCTCACACGAAGCGCGGTATATCTTACCTGTATATTGGGCAAGCTCACCACCACGTCCGTTGCCGCGTAGTATTGCTCGGCCAGCGGAGGTGGAGGCGGCTTGGTCTGGGGAAATGGCGAAGACTTGTGCGAGTTGAGAATGGGACTCTTGCTCACGTCCGGGACCGCGTACTCGCGGGACGTTGTGGATCCTGCTGAAAGAAAAGAGCCCAACAAGAGGTCTACTTAAGTTCTTAAGAACCTGCTTGGACCTGTTCAGGAATTAGGAAAAGAATTAGGACACAGACATTTAATCACTTTCAAGGTGCCTTCACCCCTTTTAATTTTTTTTTCACCTCTACAGCAGCATAACACATGGACAATCGGAACAGTTAAATCTTGCTTTAACCTGTTTTATCAAGAAAATGTAGATAGTCAGCTATTCTTTGTTTTTAAATGGAGCGAGATCATAACTTTGATGAAGCACGAGTAATTAGTGATCCTTAGCATTTGTTGCATGGATAGCCTCAATCAGGACCATAATGGACTATAAAGTAAGTTATTAATTTACATTACACTTTGTACTTGTGTAAAGTAGGACTCCCAAGAAAGTTTTGAGATATCTTTGGCTTCGTGATATTTGGTTGACAGATTGGCTAGCAAATCAATGCAACTATGGTGCTAATTCTAATATTAGTTGCCTTGTCAATTCCAAACCAGGTACTCGTGATACTCAAAGCTAGGGCTTAATGATAAAGCAATTATTGATAAAGACGTTAAAAATTGGTTTTAGGTCAGACGACGAAGTTCCATCAGCTACAGAGCCGATACAACAAAACCTTACCGTTGCTGTAGGTGCCGGGGTAGATGGGCTTAAAATCTTGGGGTTCGTGGTAGAGAAGCTTGTCGGGGTCAGGGTCTTCAAGGGCAACCTGGCCATAAAGATTCCCATTAGCTTCCCGTGCCACGTACTGGGGGGAATAGGCTAACGCAAGGTCCTGCAAAGAACGGAAGCCACGTAGTCGCGTTAGCAACGTGAATTAGCTTTGCCGTCCCATGTTCGAACGTTTAAGCTTATAGGAACGTAAAAATACCTATGTATTAATTAGCTTACCAGAATGCTGTAATAAAGGATGTCATTCTAGATATGATTGCTTCCTAACGTCAGCAATGTACAAACGGTAAAAGCAAGACCGTTTTTTTTTTCACTCACAGGGATAAAACATTGTAGTTAAGGAAAATAACACGATCTAATTCTCTTTCTGCAGTTGAATTATTTTTTTTCAGACCTGTCGCCAAGCCAAGCAGGTGACCTGTTAAACAACTGTCACGTTTGCGAAAACAGGAAGCCTTACTGTAAGACGGAGAGCAGCATCAATGTCCCAGGGAACTAAGTAGTGCTATCTAACACCTAAAAACAATATACTGGTTTATCTACTTACTAGAGAGAAAAACCTTTCACCTTTCTGGGGATTAAGTAGAGGAATATAACCAGGGCTGTACGCTTTCCATTCAAACAAACTCGGGATAGGTCTTAAAACGCTTGTACTGAATCGGTGCAGGAGATGATTGACAAAGACAGCTAGTTCAACTGGCAGTCGCAGTCCGTGAAGAACCAGGCGAAGCTCACCTTCATGTTAATGGTGACCCTGCTGTCCATGGGCTTTAGGATGGCATGGGGCGTCGTGTGCTTTCTCCGCTTGTTTCGCGCGACTATCACGAAGATGATGAGGATGAGCAGAAGGATGACTGCTGCCAGTACCCCAATGACCAATCCCACGTACTGCTTTGACATCGGATCTTCGCTCATGGCGGTGCTCACTGCAAAGCAATGAAACAGGACGCATCTTGAAGATAACTTAGCCTCACATTAAAATAATATGAAAATTATTTATTGCCATCAGAGTCATAATGCTGTTGTCGTTTTTGTTTAATGATAGTGGGCAGTTTATGCATTTCTGTGATGTATAAAGAGAATTAATTCGTGGAAATAGGAATTTATGGGTCGGTAACTCACTGTCACAATATTGAAAGATATCGAAATAAAATGTACAATCTATTTACAGAGTTATTGGAAGCACATCATGCACTGGCAATATATTGCTTATATTATGGCTTATTGAGCTGTACTTTTAGAACGCAGCTCATAGGCGCCGTTTTCGGCTTGAGCGGCGTCAGCGTAACCGTGAGGTCACGTGACCCCCCAAGTCACGTGACCTCAGGGGGGTCACGTGACCTCGAGGAGGGGATTACGTGACCTGAGGGGGTCACGTGAACTCGGGGGGGGGGGGGGGCAGTGACGTGACCTTGGCCCCCAGAGGTCACGTGACACCCCCCCCCCCCCCCGAGATCACGTGAACCCCCTTGAGGAGGAGGAGGAGTAGCAGGCCGGATCACGAGCTGAAGATGAGGGAGGAGGGGTATACCCTCCCCTCAGTACCTTTGCCTCCTCCTCCTCAAGACCTGCGCTCGAATCCGGTGTTACAGGGAGTTGTAAACGGCTTTCATTTTCTAGAGCGCAGCTCTTAGGCGGCCGTTTCTGGCTTGAGCGGCGTCGGCGTCGACGGCGTAACCGTGAGGTCACGTCACCCCACCCAGGTCACGTCACCCAACCCAGGTCACGTGATCCCCCCAGGTCACGGACCCCCACCCCCGGGTCACGCGAACCCCCGGTCACGTGACGCCCTTCCGCCTCCCCCCAAGATCACGTGACCCCCGTGAGGGGAGGAGGAGAAAGGAGGGGAGCAGTGAGGATGAGCAGGGGGGACAAATCCGAATTTTCCTTACTCCGAAAAATTAGTTTAAAAGACTTATCTCTTGTCCCTTTCGTCCAGGAGTAGCAGGCAGGATTACGAGGGAGGAGGAGGGAGGAGGAATATACCCTCCCCTCAGTACCCTTCCCTCCTCCTCCTCAAGAGCTGCGCTCCAATTCGGCGTTACAGGGAGTTAGTTGTAAACGGCTTTCATTTTTTAGTTCCGAATAAAAATTCAATTTTATTCGATTCATCCTTTTTAGTTATATTACTCATTTTCTTTCAAACCCTTAGGATAAATATATGCTCTTTCGAACACAGTGACTGAATGTGTACTCACCAATTGGTGGAGCCACAGGTGGTTCTTCTTCTGAAAAGTTTCCAGCTGCGGGTACTGCAAGCAGAAAACAGATGAAAGAGTAAAGGACTATTAGTATTCATAAAAAAAATTAACTGTATTGGACCTTTCTTCAGCGGAGGTGGCCAAACATCTTTAAGAAAACAGCGCTAATCTTGATTCGATGCACACTTTAAGCAGCTTTCTTTTTTTTACTGCTTGCCAGAAACCGCCAGTTGTGATAGATTTTCGCCGTATAGATATCTCACTGCAATCTCATATTTTCATGCCAGTGACAAAAATATAGTTGTTTAGAAATTGCTTTTTGTGCATAATCAGATGCCAGGCAAAATAAAGACAACATTTTTGTACCTAACTGAAACCATTTATTTTTATCAGTAACTTCCAATTGGAAATGCTAAACTTATTAAAGTCGAGTTTATAAAACAAAAACCTTTGACTATAAACATGTAACGCCTAGGATTCTCAATAACATGCGGTTCCTTATCTGTTCTTGACGTGAATAAAATCTTCGTTACAAGGACAGCTTTTGTAATATCCGAGATTTCCAATGACCTGCGCCAGTGTGTACGCTAAAGAAAGGATGATGTGTTATTGATAGTGCAGGTCCTTATCAGTGGAACAGTCGTATTCTTTCTGGTCACTTTTCTATTAATTATGATAGATGCGTATGCCACTATCATCTAGATATAATCAAAGCCTGCTCACTGCTTCCTCTTCATGAAGTGTTACACGAAGAGGGCGTCGACTCAGCGATTGGGTGCCGAACATGCACCGGATTCACTGATTAAACCCGAACCCCAGCCGAATGCAAACGAATGCGAACGCAGCCTTGGTGTCTCCTCGAACACACCTAGCACTCCTGTCTCGCGGTCATGATGTGAGAGCACGGGACTTGTAGGCTGGTCTAAATGGTAATGTTCATCAACCACAGAATTTGTAAAATAACTTGAAGCAAGCCTTCAACGTAAAAGTACATTGTGCCAACAGTTATACAAGAGACTAATCGGTAGATCTTTCAGATGAGGAATTCAAAATCTTGTGCTGGAAACCTGAAAGTGCTACTTTCAAATTCTATTGAATATAGCGCTTCGTAGAGCTATTCCTTTTCATTTTCTGTTGCTTTTTTTTTTTTCTTATATGCGAATTTTTTTTTTTTTTTTTTTATTTTGATGCGTATTTTCATTCGAAATAAATGAGCAAAAAGATACATTCAAGGCTCGAAGGACAGTGTCGCTATGCCATTTAATAATCCTTCCACACGTGTAACTACGAATCAGATGCGAATACAGGTTGATGCAGCGTACACCGAAAACAAAAATCAAGTTGGTACCACTGCCACTTGTAGCGAAATATTTACACCAATAACGAAGTGCCCTTTTCACGACGTTGCTCGTCGGCGACCGCATCCCATGTTCTGCCACCGCTGGCCGGAGATCCTCGTCGGGTGTTACTACAGGGGCACCACTTCTTCATCGATCCCCGTGGCGCCTGTCGGGAGCCAGATAGGGCGCGCATACTGGTTTACCTGAACTGTTCCGCCCCCTTGCCCTTCCATAAAGCTCAGCGGCACGGCGCGAGACGACGCATCGATTCGTCCTCGCGACGTATATTACGCGTGTACGTCGCCGAGGTTCGTCGCCCTCCGCTGGTCTCGGCACATCCCGAGGAGAAAGTTCTAGAGCGGGCGTGCAGCCGACGCGCCGACGCCTCAGGACGCGCACACGCGCACGTCTCGAGGACTTTTTTTGCGCCATTACACACGGCCATATTGCTGCGGGAGATACAATTTCTACAATATGTAATATGCAATGTTACAAATTTAGTAGATTACAATATGTCCTGATGTCCGCGGCGTCCTTAACCATTGTTCCGAACAAAAATAATTATTTATCGGAAAAGCCCCTTTATTTCTTTAAAAATGTTATCATCCCTAACAAAAAAAAGAAAAAAAAAAGAAGACACACATTGTACGTGTAACAAGCCCAGTTTCCTACATCACGTAGTAAACAAATTTGTCCTTCTCCTCTGTATGTTTTCTTTCTCTGTTTTTTCTTGTTTCAGAATTTGGTTTCTCCGCACAGCCTGATGCGTCTGTTCGAACTTTTAGAAGAAGAGCAGACATCGAGAGAATCTCGATGCGCTTCACTTGGCAAAACTTTTGCGACAATGTTTACCACCAAGTTTTTTTTTTTTTTTTTTTGTGAGTACAGCCGTGGCCTTCCGCGCACTAAGTATGGAAGGTGCTACGCTCGCGCGACGATGACGGTAACGCTCGATTACTCTCGACGCGTCTGTTGTCGGCTCACTAGCGCGAATCCACATCGGCACCGGCTCTAGCGCGCGCGTCTCTCCGTGCAAAATCGCTCGATTCCAAGCATTTCGAAACTTTGATTAAAATCGTTCGTGAAGAATCTTGTTTTCGATTTTTTTATACGTACAAAATGATATATAAGAACGAAAAGCAACGACGCAGAAGTAAGAATAATATTGAGGCATATATGTTTGGTTGTTGTTGTTTTTCTCTTCATATTTGCAGCGCTTGGACTTAGTTTGTTTTGAATTTTTTTATGTTTCGATTTTATGAAAGGCAATTTGGAATGGAATGTTATATACGAGTATAGCTTCTTACACACGAGCGGAAAGCTGATAGGACGAATTGATAAAACGCAAATTGAGATTTGATTTGTCGAAGTGCCCGGCTGTGAGGTAAATGATTTCAGAGTTTGCTCTCTCTCTTTTTTTTTTTTGCGGATTATAAATTTGTTTATTTTATCTAGTCAATGCACTTCTCGTTAGAATTTAATATTAATAATAAATGCGTCTGATGTAATAAAAACCATTAGAAACAACATAGATATTTTCTGACAAATGCATACGGCTGATGGAACAAAACGGTGCTTCTTTTAAAAGAAAAAGATAGCTCGCATATTTGTAATTACCACTTAAAACATTTATCTGTACTTTTATAAAGAACCACTAAGTGAAATGTTTCGACTAACGGTTGGGAATTTTTAGATTGCGTTCAACAATTTAACGATGAGCTTCTTAGAGGGCTACCCCCTTTCTGTGGTAAGCAAACGTGAAATTAAGCACGCAAAAAAAGTAGATTCACTTTTGATTTTAACAAAATGCTTGTGGGCACTATAATTGCTGCGTTTTCATGGAAATGCTCGTTTTCAAAATCAGTTAAAGGTTTCCATGGGAAAATGATGACCACAACAGTTTGCAGACGCAGAGAGAGAAGTTATGCGCAGTTGTTAGTTTGATCATAGATTGAGCTAGCATCTTATGAAATGAAATATTAGTTTTAAAGCACCAGTATCAGAAATCAATTCTCGCGAGGCGGGGCTCATATCAGCGACAGACGAATTATAGGAAAAGCTGGCGCCAGTTATTCTACGCGACATATAAGTGTATCAGTTCCCACATGCCAGAGTAAATTGGCCGGGACTGTAGCAGAAACAATAACTTCCATGATTTATAATTAAAAAAAATATTGCTGCTGCCATCGGGACCTCAATAATAGTAGGAAAATATGTGGTGTAGCCAGTTTCTATATTATAAGACGTTTCTGGTCATGTCTAAGGCCCTGAAAGACGCTCTAATTCAAAACTGAGTTTGGTTGTTTATTGCTCTAGCCAGAAATAGGTACCAACCAACCAAATGTAGTACATTCGCGCAAACTAAGCGTCATTTTGGTTCGTAATTGTAGGCGCCAAATGAAGGAGATTTATTATTGCCTGCATAAGTGGCATCTCGTCTGAAGTTTTTTTTTTCTTTATTATTTTGGTTTGTTCAGAAGTTTGACTCGGAAAATAGACTTCGCACCTCAAGCTCATTTATTAATCTTATAGAATATACGCTTTTTGGGTTATGTTGTTTGCGCCACAAAATATCGTCTTCAATTAAGTGGTGACAAAAAAAAAAGAATATACATACGTCAAAAGCAGCTTTCGTTGAAGACAGTAGTCACAGTACCACCAGAAAAATGTCGATACAAACTTCCACTCACGCCTAGCACAATATCAACCGCAACCAGATCTAAATATCGGCAGGTACATATATTGCGAATGGGTTACAAAATTTTTGTTTCACCCGTCTCTGCCGCTAATGGCCAAGGAGAAGGACCACCACACTTGTCATGCCTGATTTTTAAAAGTTCATTGCGTGTATTCGCCCGCTTGAGAACCTGGTGATTCAGCACGTTTGAGCTGTGCCATCTAAACATCTCGGCCACACTGACGAACCCCGATAAAACATTGTAGTTGTAATGTTACGGTCCCGGAGAACGGTTTCGGTCGGCGCTGCGAATCCTCACCTGAGGTGAAGGAGACTTCGCTGACGAGCAGCCACTTGGCGGCAAACTCGAGCTGTATCTTGACGAACCTGCCGACGTGGTGGTGCAGGCGGATGGTGACGTTGCGGGCCTTCTCGTTGAACAGGCTGGGCATCAGGTTGAAGTGCTGCGGCTCGCCCAGGTAGTACTTGCCGCCCACGCTGAATGACAGCCGCGCCACGCGGAACAACTGCACGTCGCGGCTGTGCATGTTGTTGCAGTGCAGGAAGGCGGCCGAGAAGTTGCGCACCGTGTCGAACTCGAACACCAGCTCCAGTGGCTGGGAGTGGAGCGAGTCGTTGCGCCAGCCCACCCATTCGTATCCTGCGAAGTATGCAAAGTCAGGCGTGCGTTAGGTACCACCGCGGACAATCCAAGCTGAAACAGCCCTTTACACTACTTCAGCTTTCCTGAGAGTTTTTAAAGAAGTTTTTATTCAAACTTGTCTTAGAACTCGAAGTTTGGGTCCTCGTCTTTGAACGCTTTGACAATTTCAAAGGGAGCTTGTGGGAAATATAGATGCAGGAAACGTCCAGATGGTATGTTTCGACTCTTGTTATCCGATGGTGTAAAGCCTAGGTGCTGATTCGGAACGCGTCTTCGACTAGTGTGCTTACCGCATCATCAAATGTGGAACCACGATGAGGATATTTTACTTTTTGTGCATTCTATCGGCGATCCTCACTGCCGTCTGCGCACTTATAAACTAAAACCTTGCGTTTTTTTTTTGTTTTGTTTTTTACAACGAAGCTGTTTATGGCTATAGGGTTCCGTGGATTTTTCGCGAGCGTGACCAAAACCTCTACGCTCGCAGCGCACCCACACGCCGCACGTGCCGGCGTCTGCAGCAGTAACTGCTCTAAAGCAAAAGCCTAAAACAGATGGCATCTTGCACGCGTGTTCGTCAACTCTTTATTTTGGTTATTTACTTCGAATCTTTTATACGGGGAAGGCGTGCGCGTGCGGCGCGTGGAACACCATTCTCTATATTCTCCTTGAAGCTAGGGTTACCGTTCTCCATTTTCAATTGCACTTCTCTTGTCGTAATGAGGAGGCCGCGTACAGTTCAGACTCCCGAAGAGCAACGCGGCTACGAAAAGCAACGGCGGGAACGTCAACGAGAATGTCAGCGGCGGCGGCGGCGGGCGGTACATGTGTGTGCGCACCTTTCGTCACGACGATCACCGATCAAGACAATAAATGTGTTCGTACCTTTGTTCGAAAGTTTCTGTCACGTTTGTGTCGCGTGCTAAACAGCTTTGCTGGTCTTACACCCTCAAAAAGTAAAATGGCACCCATTTTTTTTTCTTTGCCGGGATGATGCTACGAATTTTAATCCCTCTCATCTTACACCAAGAGGAAAACCAGAAGCTCAACGATGCGCGACACATTGCTGTCTCAGTAAATAAGCTCACGATATGACAGCCCGGGTGTTATATGGTTGAAAGACCCCTTAATTACCGGTTTTGTTCTCGACAGTCGTTATAACGCGGTGCTTATAACTAACTGTGACTGAAGACCTCCTCGAAAGCAATCGCATTAGGCTTACCAAATTGGCTTTCTAGAAAAATGAGAGAAAGCCCTCTCCACCCTTCTTTATTAAAAAAAAAAAAGCAAAGCAAAGAGCGCCGATAATTATTTTTTTTTTGTTCATCTAGGAGTTTAGAACCGGGGGAGCAGCGAGAATCCCTGCTTTGGTATTTATAGACCCACGTTTTGTGCATAGGCGCATCAGAGGTGAGGAACAAAGGAAGTAGTACTTAAGAAGGAGGGAAGCCGTGATTGGTCTAGCCGGGGATTGGAAACGCAAAAAAAAAAGAAAAAAGACGGCGAGCGTCATGACGTTGCACTTTTGACGCTGCCCGATTGGCTCCACCGGATCGAGAGGCTGCGCTTGGACGTAGTGCGTAACGGGGTATGCGCAGAGCAAGTGGTCTGTTTCTTGCGCCGGAGCTGCGGTGACGTCAGAACGACGCCGAGCTGTGATTGGTTGATTGAAAAAAAAAAATAGTGGGTAGACCTCAAAGCACCTAGCATTAAGATCTACCCACTATTTGTTTTTTTTTTTTGATCAGCCAATAAAAGCTCGGCATCGTTCTGACGTCACCGCCACTCCCACGCAAGAGGCAGACGACTCGCTCTTCGCATAATGGCGGACAGCAATGAGGGGGAAGGAGACGCCCACCTTTTCCGTATCCGGACACGTCGAGCTTGAAGTTGTCGCTGCCAGCCGTACCGTCCGTGAGTTGACCCAGGCCGCCGTGCAGGTAGCTGTCGTCTTTCATGCCGTCGTAGGTAACGTCCGATAAGTCCACGTCCGTGCCCCTGCGCTCGCCTTGCGGGATCGAGTACGACAGGATGCCCTCTGCGAGAGGAACGGGTGAAACCTTTGGAGCGATCTGATTGCATAGCATAACTTATTCGTGCGGGAACTTGAAAAAAAAAAAAGAAACGATAATGAGGCATCTCTTATCAAAAGGAATCGTGCTCGTGTATTCGATGAAAAGATTAAGGGGAGGCAAACGTTTTCTAAAAATTTAGGTTTTTCTTTACCTGTGTTTTTCAGTGTTTTAGCGCTACATCTTTCTTTGGAGTTGTACCTGAGCGTTATTTTTGTGCTTTTATCGCGCCTTCGCATTGCTGCGTCGACACACCTTACATTTTGTGAGAGGCTCGCGTCACAGGGAACGGCAAGTGAGTGAATTTCAAACAATCATCAGAATGCTGAAAGACTCAGACGCAGTTAATGCGTAGCTAATATCTGCATCGGACGCGAATAAAATTTGTACTAGTTCCTATTCGTACAAAACAATAATGACGCCTTGCACTATAGATCTGACAGTGCTGTAACTCATTATTTTATCGATGCACATCACTAAACTGGCTGAGCACATTGAAACTTCAGAAAGCACGCGTTCACCATCAGAAACAGGGCTATCTGATCAATCTGTCCACAGATTCCCCAGCTTATTTCTTGGTCGTCAGTTGCTGCTCTTTCGAAAATTTCTAAGTTAAAAAGGGTCACGCACACTGTCCTCGTTTTTACTGTGGGTTCAAGCGGCTTACAGATATTTAGTCAGAGTCCAAATGTCTGTTAAGGTTATACGTAATCTGACTGGAGACTACAGTGGTGTAGATGGTGTCTGATGCCGAGTTTGATTTTACTTTTTGAGATGCCTGGAGAGGAAGTGGTTTATTAGAGAAATGAAGAGGTTAACTGGTCCAAATAATTCCTGTTACGATGGCCGTCATTCTTGACAGCTGACAAAACGCAGGATCGCAACCATCTGATCATCGCTCTACGGCTAACGACATTTCGGCATTAGCAGATAGAACACCGCCAAACAAATCACGAAGGAAGAAGTCTCAACATAACAAGCCAATCGCGGAATTTTTTTAAGATGATCGAAGCCATGTAGGCACACGTGAATCTATAAGGCATACTTCTGATGACGAGCTAGGAAATCTAATCAAACTGCGAAGGTTTTAAAGAGTAAAAACAAATTCAATTTCACCCCATGCTGTTATACAGGTTCAGCAAGCTGACATGCAAGTCAGAAAGTTCTCAGTTTCAACAATGAGTATCTAAAAGTACTGTAGACTAAGAAAGTTGTTATCCAGACCTTTATGAGGCGTACGAGACGCCCTTCGCGAGGCTAGCACACAAACCCCCGAAATTTTTGTTTCGCCGGCGTTTCATTGTCGCCGGTTCATTGCACGCCACCAACCAGGCAGTTATGCCTGATACAAGGCGGGGGTGCTTTGACTTGCCATTTCGGGCGGCCAGCCGGCCGGTGTCTCAACCCTTCAGCCATCGCGGCTCCACTGTCAACCGCTCCGGAAGTCCCCGAGCTCTCATACAGGCGAAGCGCCGGACTTTTTGTTTACACTCGAGCGTATAAGTGGCGCTCTCTCGTCTATTTTGAGCCATAGCGAAGCTTCATCAACGAGCTGCGAGGAGCTGCAGAAGGCGCGCGAGAAAAGGAAGCAGAGAACAAAGAAGCCAAAATATCCGAGAGGTTCTCACGACGCGAGATATATGGCGGGATCTATCGAGGCTTTGGTGAACAAACACAAACCCCGGAAGCGGCGGCGGCAGGCGCGTTTTGGGCCTCTCGTTCTGCGAGACACCGCGACGACGACGTCGTCGCCGACGAGTCCTCGACTCCGCAGTAAAAGCATTTCGAGAGCAACGGCATGGGGCTTGCTCGCCGGCCACTTAAGGGTCCCCTAGCAATCCGCCTGGTTCTACAACATGTTGCACGGTATCTTTTTTTTTTTTTTTTTCTCTCAATAGTTTTGGTTTCCAAGGTGCAGCACATTCCGCAGTGTGATAATGTGTGCTCTTGATTGCATTCATTTCGGTAGCTACGGCACCTTATTTTTAAGTCTATTTATTCTTGGTTGACATTTACGATTCTGTTAAATGAACTCTTGCAGGAGATACTCACCCTTTGATTCCTCACAGAAATGCAGGAAAACAAAGTTTAAAAGGGGAACACAGGTTTCCAATAAACCTACTCATCTTTCCGTTTTTTTCTTCTTTTTCAAAGGTAATGACTACAGACTACCACTTTTCTAAATGTTCGTGCGTCTGCTTCCCCCACAGAACACTCGGAGAGCCAATCACTACGATCTACGAGGACAGCTGGGCGGATGACAAAGCCGAAATTATGTATTGAAGTTTTAGACCCAAAACTAAAGCTCGCGTTGTGACACTGAGCACGAGGTAAGCACGTGAAACGTTCTGCATATACTGCCAGACTGCGGTCTTCATTCGTAGTATTTTCGCCCTCCTGATTCGCCGGGATGCCTCTATAGGGAGTATTCACTGGACGCCATATTTGTGGGTGCTGTTTAGAGCGCATGCTCAGAACGAGCTCACATCAATAGGCTGCTAAAACCGGCACACTTGATGAAATTATAATGCAATTAAATGCAAAGGTGCAAGCGAGCTGGACAAGAATGACGAAATGAATCCCTGGAGAAGGAGAACAAGAGGGACAAAGGACGAACATAAATCTCCAAACACAGCTAGGTGACTGGTGAGCGACCGGACCAGGCAGATTTTTCGGTCGCTCACCAGTCACCTAGCTGTGTTTGGAGATTTAAGTTTGTCCTTTGTCCCTCTTGTTCCCCTTCTCCAGGGATTCATTTCGTCACTCTTGATGGTGCGGAATGCACGCTGAAAACTAACTGTGGAAGCTCGCCACCAGCAGGCGCTCAGCAATCGCGCGCAAAACAATGGCCGCTTGTGAATACTCCCTATAGATCGTAGACATGGGCGTCCAGCGATAACCACGTGACACCGCCTCCCTTTACACAACCAGCGCCGTCTTCCGCCACATTTCTGCACACTTGGGGCGGTAACCATCCCACCACCCCACGGCGCTTCCAGTCCAAGGAAAGCCACACCGGCGTTCGTTGATTGCAAGCTATATGCGGCGTCAATTACATCGCGCTATATTCCAAGGCTAGCTTAGTAGCCCAGCATGCGCAGCGCTCTAACTCTGTCAAAGCACAATACGCCGAAGGGGGTGTTATCGGCCTCGACACCGCTCTCGGCGATAAAATAAAAAAAAATAAAAAAAGCCCGCCTTTCCAATAACAAACATTTGAACATTTTATTTTCGGATCTATTCTCGGCGTCAACTATTTTGTGCTACGTCACTAAGTCCGCAGTAATCTAACTGTCAAATTGAGTTGCGCCAGCGCGTGCGAATGAAACGCAAATAAAGCCTCCAAGTACTCTGCCAGCAGCGCGGGGCTGCAGCGCTGTGGACATTACGCCCTTGGCAATGCACCGCGAAATAGTTAACATCGAGTTTTCTTCTTTTCACTTTTTTATAGGGTCAATTTTCGACATTTGTTTCCGCTACTTTCCCGCTCTAGCGGGAAAACAGACGGGCGGACAATTTTGAGAGGGATCATAATTTGTTTTTCGCCAGTAAGAAATACGCCAGAAGCATTTTCGCGAAAATCATATCAATCGATGAGAGCGTTCTAGACGAAAAAGAAAGCAACAAAAAAGGAAACAAAACAAAAACAAAAAAAAGTGAAAGGGGCCAAGGAAGCGGCTTAAGCAAGGACCGAGTTTCGGGAAGCCCTTTGAAGTTACGACTAATAAGGACGCTGCTGGCGGCATTCTATCAGGGCGTCTTAATTACGGCCAGAAACATTCTTATCGAGCCATTACGTGCCCTTAAGGCGAGGCCTACGTCGCACGACGCCTACCACCTCAAAACAAAACTCTACTCGGAGCGCGCGCTCTGCTGGCGAAACTGTTCGCTGACTGGTCGGGCGTGCACGCGTGCGCGGGCACTCGCCAAAGAGGCCTTTCGTCAGCTTCCTCTGACACAGAAGAGAAGGAGAAGAAAGCCAGGCAGGGGGTGAGTTCTGCGCGAGAGTTTCGAATGAACGCCGCACGAGTAATTAACGAGTTAAGTACCACTTCCTATACTGCGGTAAAACGCTCTTTACGAAAATGAAGCATTGCGACGCGAAAAAGCGTGCCTCGGGGTCTAAATGCCCCATTTGTTTTTTTTATTTTGCTTGTTTCTGTATAGACACAAAAAAAAGAGCAAAGAGACTGCCATAGGTTAAGTCTTTGACTCACATAGAATAAAATTCAATCGGTCCGTTGCCCGTTTCCGAGAATTCGACTCTACGTTGCGCCTGAATGTGGGACTAATATAGCATATTGGGGACCTGTTTGAATGCACGTCTTTTCGTCTTAAGCTGTTGTTAGTCACTAGAGTTATAGAAGCGCACTCTTAAATTGGAGATACGGTCCTTCCTGTAAATGCACCACAACTCAAGAAAAGTGCTGACCACCGCCATACAGATTAGTCTTTTACAGATAAATTCCGAGGAACGTGTCTATAGTACATGCGCAGGTCACCTATCTATAAAAAGTTCGGCCTTGAAGCGGACAGTCCCGCAGTGACACAAACGATGGGCGATGGTGTCTTGTGCGCGAAGCTCCAAAATAATATCACGGCCCTGCAGAGGCATTGTCGCTACTGTTCCGACTCACGTTATTATGTCTTCGTCGCATATTAGAAGTGAAGGACAGCTCACTAAATGCAGCGCGCTGCCAAGCAACATATTTCAAAGAGAATAACGGATCACCGGTCGAGATTCCGTCAGCCTGCCTTGATCCAGACTATATATATACATAATCTTACAGATTTGCTTAAAAAAATCCATGAAAGCTACACTTATGTGGTTTGTGCGAGTGAGTTATACGCCCAGGAGGACATTATATGGGTGGCTAATCTTTGTGATAAGTCGGCTAATTTAGTAGAATTCACTAATTAACTTTTAATTAGTGAAAATAGACATATGGTTCCAATTAGAAACTTGCTGAGCGTTATTGAAAATTGCTAAATCAGTCAGTTTCAGAAAGACTTTAGCACGCGAGAAGCGTATAGTAGTGCTTTAAACTTCCCACTCATGAAGCAGCTACAAGGCTTGCGGTTTCAGTAAGGCGCCCGCGCAATTTTTCCGTCTTCTATCTCACTCTAAAAAAGCCCGTGCGTCTACTTTCACGCACAACACTTGGAGAACCAATCACCGCAACTTACGGAGGCAGCTCAGCGAATGACGATGCCGAAACGTATGTTTAGACCCAAAAACGCAGTCTGAGTTGTGACATTAAGCAATGCAAGCGTGACGTTTTGCATTGCTTAATGTCACAACTCAGACTGCGTTTATTGGTCTAAACATATGTTTCGGCATCGTCATTCGCTGAGCTGCCTCCGTAAGTTGCGCTGATTGGCTCTCCAAGTGTTGTGCGTGAAAGTAGACGCACTGACTTTTTTTTTAAGAGTGTAGCCCCATGCCTTGTACTTGCTCCACGAGTGGAAACTTTAGCGCACTATTGCGTTAATTACGCGCTCAAAGTCTTTCTAAAAATGACTGATTTAGGGGTTTTGGACGACGCTCAGAAAATTTCTAATTTGAACCATATGTCCATTTTCACTACTTAAAAGTTAATTAGTGAATTTTAAATAATTAGCCGCCTTATGGCAAAGATTAGCCACCCACATAATGTCCCCCTGGCGTATAACTCATTCGCACAAACTGTATAAGTGTAGCTTTCATGGCTTTTACAGCGCAGCTCTTAGGCGCCCGTTTGCGGGTGCCTAAGAGCGCGCTGTGTGTCCTGAAAGACATCTTAGTTATAGTTGCGTGCAAAATAAAAATCAAGGACATGGGCAGACAAAAACACGCCTCTGGGATAGGGACCAAGAAACGGGATGATATGGTCTCGAAGAATTAGGGCTTAGAAACAGGAAACAAGGATCACACTCACGCGTCCAGGGACAGCCGTACAGTTCGATCCTCATGCAGACGGTCCTGAGGATGCTGCTGTAGGGCACCACGCGCACCTTGGAGGCGATCACGGGAGGATCCAGGCTCCGACGCACCTCCGTGTACGTGTTGGTGTTGCCCTCGAACACCTATCGCCAAAACAAAGAGAAAAAAAAAAAAAGAAAGAAAAAACAGATGAGCCGCGGGGTACACACTTTTGTACGACGATGGGCTGTTCACAAACAACTCCAAGTATTCCCCCGCCAGGTGTGCGCATGAGCAGTGCAGACGTCAGCGTCGTATGTGACTATGCAAGCACTGCATCGTGCCGTTATTAAGAAATAAAATGAAATCACAAATAAACGGCTGAAAAAGATGCGCGCGCCATTCATGCACCCTAAGCAACTTAAAAATTAGCTGTCATAAAAAAAAAAAACACAAAAAACAGAAGAGAAGTAAGTGAGACAACTTGAGGATGCAGTCTGAGATTGTGTTTAGTACGATACCCTTGTTTTTTGCATCTGGTTTTTTTATGATAGGCGACAACGTTACTTGCGACGAAGCGTCGGTAGTGTCATTAATCGGAGCTTTACTACAGTCGGTGACAAGTTTTTAGTTTAGGGGAAGTTCCTCCCACCTCTTTCTGCATTAGCAGAGCGAACGCTGGAAAGGTGGCGACCCGCTCACCAGCGGTCGCACAGCTGAAGTGGAAAAGAGGGGAGAGAAGCTTTCCCTGAACTCAAAACCTGTCGCCGACAATGCGCCGAGAAACTGAGAAAGAGGAGGAGACGAGAGCGGACTTCAGAACGGCGACCTCTGGTTGGAACGATTAGTGGGTTAGACGTAAAGCTAGCAGCCTTTGTGTTTTAACGCGTTCGACGAGTGCACTGGAGACAAAGGCTGCTAGCTTTACATCTACCCACTAACGTTCCGACCAGAGCTCGGTGTTCTGACGCCCCCTCCCGTCTTCCCTTCTCCCTCACTTTCTCGGCGCATTTCTTCATAAGCGCGTGCCCCGCCACCTGGCCACTTGAGAAGCGAACCAGAATTTCACATCCCGTTAAGACTGCCGGGCCCTCCTTTTCCACATTACTCTTCCCAGTCAAGCATTCAAAGCGCTCATCCCAAGGTGATGCACGGTGTGTGTGTGTGTGTGTGTGTGTGTGCGTGTGTGCGTGCGTGGGCGTATGTATTTGTGTGCAAGACCCGATGCGCTTCAGAGATGCTTGTACTCAATTAACCTAAAAACAACGAGCAAAAAAAAGATCCTAAGGGTAGCAGCAGCTCAAATATTCTTGGGTAGTCCGAAAGAAATGTAAAGAAGTTGACAAACAAATCCTTATTCGAATATAAAAGCAAACACACCACACATGGTTCTAGAAATACAAGTTCGAGTTAACAGCTAATGCGTTTTTTTAGGCCTAGCCAAGAGAAAGTTAAAGGTATGTGAGAGCCTGTCAGTACAAGGTACCGATTGCTATACAAGACAAAAGGCGAACACTAACAAACCGAGAATTGTTTTAAATTTTCTTAGAGGGTTTAAAAAGCCCGAACGAAACGGGGGCAAAGCAGACACAAAGACAACAGGGCAACCCCTTCACCGCCTATTTTCTTTTCTTTTCTTTCTCTAGACATTGATCGGAGGCAGCTGCTGTGTAAGTAATGGAAAACTGTCCCTACGCAATTATAAGTTCGTGGAAACCACCGTCAAGGGAACGTGGGTGGAATGACGTTGGTTTTGGTCTTGTCCTTAGTCTTTTGTTAGAATGAAATGGTGACAACACTCGTACATTTGTGACCCCGACACACGCGTAATATAGAGACGCATAAAAAAAGTTCTGCTTACGTGAATATTGAATCACCATTACGTAGAGGGACATTTGTAAGTCTACTAATCTGTATACGAGTCAAGTCAACCTGCATACCGAAGAAAGGTGTCATGCATTTACTCTTGCCAGAGCTCTTACAGAGCGCTTAGGTATTTCACCAAACTAAACGTTCCTTTCGAACTTAGTATGTAGTTTTAATCAGTCGTCCGAGGCTAATAAGACTTTACCGACTTGCTATCTCCGCGCAGCTGAGATGTGTACCAAGTGTTTAGTTTATGAGGGGACAAATATCCATATATGTTTACGTACAAGTCAAGAATCGAGAAATGTAAGGAATCTTTAAAACGTCTTGAACCTATGGCACATTTTAATTTTTTCAAAGGCAGTTCTTCGTTGTGGCAAGTTGGTACTAACCTCATTGATTATGCTTCTTACGAAATTTAGTTTCTTGCTTTTGGCTGTTTTAACTGGAACTGAAAATGGTGTGCTCATTGGTTCGCTGTCGTAATCAAAGGGATAATCAAATCTTGTAAAAAACTACAAGGAAATAATATACAGCATAGAAAAAAAAAAGAAACAATTGATATGTAAAAAGGCTACAGTCAATAATGGCGGTAACTAGAGGCGACCTTTCCATTTGGTCAAGCCTTGCGTTCGGACCAATCGACACGCGCAAACCAACGGGCGTTTGAAGCACTCAAGGGGTTGCCCAATTTCACGGCTCGTTTGAGGGACAGTTCAACGGACTTTCCACCCGGAATAGCGGCCCGAAAGACCCGCAAAATTTAAGCCTGCTTCGGGCCGGCCCATGCCAGCTCCCGTTTCATCGCATTCACCCCAATCTCACCCAACTGCTTCCTCCCGCGCACATAATTTTCCCCGAAAACACACATGAGACGAGCACAGGCACAGCACATCTCCGAGAAAATGAGATCGCATACACCGCGGCATTCTGTATAAGGCTACTACTACTCGTGTCGGTTGTGGACGGAGTCCTAGACACATTCTAAGAGGGTTCAGCTGGCAACCTGGAGACCTTCCCAATTCCCGCGGCTTCAATTAGAAGGAAGGTTTTTACCCTCTCCGATCCCCTCTCTCTTCTTTGCTACCTCACTACGCTAGGATCCTCCCTGAACCCGTACGTCAATTGCAGCAGGGTCAGCGAGGAACGCTAACCTTACCACACGTTGGGTTTGGGTCTCTGGGGCATACGCGACAGCGCGGCCCAAGAAAACCTTCGTTGTAGGGTTGGCAACCCGAGGGCGTGCTGAGAACGGAGGAGGAAGGAAGGAATTAGGGAACGCCGAAGGAGGAAGAAATGGGGAGTGGGGGATGCTGCAAATAGGGGAGGGGGAAACACGGGATAGCCCGGGATTTAGGATTAATCGAACGCGGGAGCGGGGAGCCGCAGATGGATCTTTCCTGGAGGGCCATTACAGAGATGCTTTGGCGCCTCCGCCATAAACAGCTACGCTTGCTAGCCGTCGCGAACCGAGTCGTGTAGGAGGGGGAGAGAAAGCATAGGGAAGAGGAGGAAGGTGGAAAGAAAAACCGCCGTACATATAATATACGTTTGGGGGAAGTTTCAAGTGGTTTCGTGAAATGTTTCTTTTTGTAACATTTCTTTTCTTCGATGTCTTTTTTTCGTTTTCTTCCCAACCGCGGTCAAATGGAGACGTAGTATCGTTATAAATCACGCTCGAAACAAAGTGTCTCGGGTTTTTGTTTCTTGTTGTTGATTCCGCGTTCGGTGTGTGGTGGATGAGGGTTCTTTGAGAACGGTTTTGTTCTTTTTTGATTTTATTGATTGTTATTTGGACGTTATCTCAATCTGGTGCAACGCGATGCAGTTTAATCTTTTTCTTAAATTTCTTCATATCAGTGTACGTTTGATAAATGAGGTCGTTTTATTTTATTGTTGTTTTCTTGTTTTGAAAAACTTATGCATAACGTTCCCGTGGAAGAATGGCACTCTTTTAATGGGAGTTGTGGTTTGTTCTTGAGTATTTATCAACCTCTACAGAAGTTGCTTGGACGGTATGGGGCGAGATATTTCACGAGGTACGCTCGTGCAATGGTCTTTCACATAGCTTTCAGTTGTTCGGTAAACAAATTGGCCTCTACAACGGTGCCCCTTAACGTGGAAGCGTACAGCCTATTAGAGAAGTCTCGCAGGTGCTCCAGAAATCTTTAGCACCGAGAAGACACTGGGACTCTTCCACGGAAAGAACCTGGACCGTCATAAGGACGATTAAACATTTAACTGCTTATTCGAAGACCTTATCGACTATGGCAAAAATCTTCCACGCTGATACTGCATCAAGCAACGCGTCACATGTGTTCAAAGACGCTCAATATCTTAAGCACCTAAACTACGCCAAATCTGAGCGTGTAGTTTTCTTTTTGTGTGACCAATGAGCCCGCCTTCTGAGGAGATTTGTACATGTTACTAAAAAAAAAAAGTAACGAATTACATTTACAATTACTCGAAACTAAGTTGCAATTACTTACAATTACCCGTTATGAAGGTAAGTAACCATTACTCCACAAAGTAATCCGTTACTTTTGTGGCGTTGCCTGCAACATTACTGTCCTCAAGGAAAAACCAAAGCTAAGAAGGATATTCAGATGTTTAGTGTTGCCACCAGTCCCAATGATTGACCGTGAGTATTTTGAGCATCAGCTCGATCTCGTAAGTCTCGTCAGACATCTTGCCTCATTTCTTCGTCAAGATGTCGACTGCTACGCGGAACACCCATTCAAATGAGGCACTCGATGGGAGTACCATACTGTTCCTCACGAATGCTTGATGCACTGAATTGTGCTTCACCACGTGAAAAGATGGAAGTGTTCTTTACCCCGAAGAAAAAGCAACGCTTCGTTGTGGCAACGGTGCTTGATATTATCGGAATCGCGAAGCTGTAGAAATTGTCAGACAACTGACCAAAGCTGGAATATAAATTTATTTATTTACATCTAACTATACAGGCACACAATCCAAATGATACAGAACAAAGTTAGTAAGAGAGGGTAGTTACACGTGAAAATTAAATAATGGTTAAGGTTTCGATTTATATTCTTCCTTTGGCTGTGAACAGGTAGAAAGAACTACGCTTGAGGCGTTGGTGAACAAGGGAATAAACTGTTTCACGATATAAATATAAGTTATAAGGAAATAAATGTACCATGTCCACTCGCCAAAATAGTTATTCAGATCGTCGGTTAAAAGAGGATAATATAAGCGCACATTTCTCTACGCGTACCTTTCTTGATGGCGTTGAAAAGCGCAAAGAGCACGGGCCAAAAGTAGTATACTCCAGTCAGGCACGTAGCCAGGATTTTGTTTCGGGGGGGGGGGGGGGGGGGGGGGGGGGGAGGCGCCCATGACAAAATGCTGTATAAAGGGCATGGGGGAAGAGGAGGTTCCAGCAAAATGAAAGATTTTGAGGGGGGAGGGGGGGCCGGGCCCCATGCCCCCCCCCCCTCCCCCCCCCTCTTGGCTGCCTGCCTGACTCCAGTATTTTCTATATAGACGTCCGCCGAAGCCACCGGCAGTGAAGGGCAGAAAACTAAGCCCCACTCACGACTTTCACTACCTCCTCAAGCCCGGTATCTCTAGCCTACGTGAGCTGCTACATATACATGCACTTTATTTTTTTTTTGTAAAAATCTGTGTTGCAAGTAAGATGGTTCCTGCTGGGGGTAAAAGCAGGGGAAAGAAAACATTGAGTTTTCCAAGTGCCCGCAAAAAGCTGACGCCGAAGAAGGGTTACTGAGATGCAGATAACCTGACAGGAATTCACATTTAAAAGGGACCGCCTTAAAGGTTGAACTACAAAAAAAAGTGGATTTTAGAACCCCCTTTTTTTTTTCGCTTCTCAATGCGTGTGGCAATGTGACTGCGGTCGACTTTACCAAAATGAACACATTTTGTTCTCTTTCGGAGGAGGGGTGCGGTTCGTTGATTCAAATATAAGGATTTACAAGAAAGCCGTTACGTAAATATGGGAGGAAATTACTTTACGATTACTAAGGGATCACTAGTAATTTCGTTACATGTAACGGGTTAGGTACAAGTCTGCATGTGCGCGTGCATGTGCGTGAGTAGGCATGAGGTTTAGCAAGAGAGTTTGTATAAAAATGTGTACCCTGTTTTGTAGGTGCACCTCTTTCTAATGTTCTTCAAATTCAATACTTTTCTAAAGACGAGCAGCCAGGAGCTCGTCTATACATCCGTGCGCATTTCCAAGTCTACATTTATCAGCTCGTTCCGCTCCATACTTAAGCAATTAATTTATCCACGATGGCATTATGTGCACGCGCGTGAGTGCGTGCACTCTACTTTGCGCATGTGCGCTGTAACAAGGGGCGCACGTCACACGCACGAGCCATGTTTAACGCATCTCTCAGCTCATGTACCCAAATATGCCAGTTTACGATCGCATAACATTTTACCGTCGTTGTGCCCGACCTCCCCGCCAACTACAGAACAAAGCATCCGTTCTCTGCGGGGGAAAAAAAATAACCTAGGTTCCACAACGAGACGAAAAAACTCGAAAGTACAAACGCGAGCCAAAACCAGCGGCGAGGGCGCAACCAAACAGCAATAAGGCAGCAGGCCATCACGCTAAAGAAAGAAACCAAACAAATGTAAGCATTATAAAAGAAAGCAACATAGGCACAGGACGTTTGTGCCGGCAAGCGTCTTTTACGATTTCAGCGATGTCACGGAAAGGAGGACGCCCCGAAGGAACGGCGACGTTACTGTTTATTTGCCCAGCAAAGCGAATACGACCGCCTCCGGCCACCTGGCGAGAAAGTCAGACAACGAGCTTCTCCCCCCGTTCTTTGCAGACCGGGCGTTGGGACGAAGCTCGCTTTTGCTTTCCTGGTTCTGGGCACATTACGCTTCGTATAAGGACATCGCTGGGAAGGCCCGACTCGTCGGCTGCATGTGTGCAGGTCCGTCGCACGTTGGTTGCACGTGGACTCCGTGCTGAGCGATGCTTTTGCTTGAGCTGACAGCCGTAAACTTGCGAGGTTTGGGGCATTCGACGCCTGGAGTGACTGGAGCGCTTGCTGGGGAGAGAAGGGCGCCCCGTGTTTATCTTGGCGGGGACCGATTGTCTCCCGCCAGTTATGTGGTTCGAGCAGCCGGAGGAGATCGGAGGTTAGGCTTCACCTCGCTCACCGTCATCTTGCAGGAAAGCACCCTTCGGGTAGCGTTGATTGTCGCAAATTGCGCGCTTCTGTCACAAATATATTTTGGAAGTGGGGGCATGACGGTTCATTACACGATTTCGTGTAGCAGATCTATCGAGGGCAGGCTTCTCAGAGCGGCAATTCAAGGGAATGTAAAATGCTATTTTAAAATTTCTAATTAGAAACCACGAAAAGAACGTTCGAGGGCGCACATTTAGCTAGAAAATAAATTTCTTCGTCTGACATTTTTTGTTTTGTGTATTATTGTTTACATTCGGTAGTGCATTATCGTATCTAAGCGTATTAAAATTACGAGCAAACTTAGCACTTGAATGTGCTATCCACCAAAGGTGCGTTCCAATCGCTCGGTAATTACTACTGCAGCATTTATAGAGACCCATTTTTAAGCCACGCTACTTCACAGGTATTTATAACAGCATCTTTCGAGACAGTTGATGTCTATTTCATTAAAACTGCAAAAAAGTTAATAAAATTTCTTTCTGAACACGAGTCTTAGTTTTAGTTTAAATTGGTTTCAAAAGCAGCAAGTTTTAGTTTAAATTGGTTTCAAAAGCAGCGCGTCTTCATCTATGCAAAGTATGCGAAGATGAGTGCTGGCCAATCGAGTTGTCGGGCAATGTTTTAAGAGCATAACGACTTAATTAGGTGCCCTATCTAAATACCCGTAATATTATCATCATTGCACGTTGCAATATTTGTTTCTATATATATTCTATATAGTGCGTTAGTACACGCTAACGCACCAACTTCGAAACTCCGGAATTTACGAGATGTGCAGGATATTCGAACTCGAAAAACAAGGCTAGAATTGAACGTTGTCACTTCTTATTCGAGTCAATGAGTACACCGAAACGGTTGTTTTTATAGCAAGTCGAATAACGTTGAAGTAGGTGCATGCAACGATTTATTCAACCCCTCACTAAATAGAGCGTCATCCTCGCAGCTGAAAATTAGTGTGCACATCACCCTCGCAAAAAAAAAAAAAAGAGAAGACGTTGAGGTAAATTATCTGGATGAGGAAGTGAGAAACAGGAGCATCCATTGAAGCACATGTTGGCACTTTCGTCACCGGAACATTACGCCACGGCGGCGCGAGAGATAGCTCCCATTCGCTTCTCGCATGAGCGCCTGAACAGCAGCACCAGACTCCCCGCCACCGAGAATACACAGCTGAGGAACGCGTCGTATTAATAATACTCAGAACCGCACCCCAGCCGGAGCAATACCGAAATAAATATGCGGGATACATATCTTCTCCGCTCTCCTCACGTGCTATAGCAACGGACGGAACATGGCAGATAAGACGCCATCTTAATGAGCCTTCCCGAGCCCCCGTGGTCGCATGGTCGCGACACCGGTTCATTTTTAGGGGCAGCGAAATATTTCGGGCCACCGAGATGCTTCGGACCAGATAAGACGGGACCAGAGGAAGGACGCGTTGTGGCGACGGTCTCGAGATCGGAACTGAGCGAAATATTTGGGGCGCATTCTCGGGTCTGGTGTGTCGCACCGGGAAAGGCTCCAATTACACGGAGCGCCGAGCCTTTTCCTCTCGATCGCCACAATGGGTCGCCTCTGTGTACCGCGGTAGGCTCCTGGAAGTTTGGTCTTAGCGGTGGCATTTTGCCATCCCAAGCGCCGCCGCGTTCTCGCGGGTTAGGCCTAAGTCGCTGCGACTGATATTTGCTCCGTTTCAGCTTGCGGTGGACCGAGGAGAAGGCTACGAGTCATTGGAGCTAGTGCAACGCAAGTGTTAGCGTCACGTGACATGCGCGAGTGTCGCAGCGACTCGCAGGTCGCGTGGTCAACTGATACGTTGGCGGCGCCGGTTGGCTGAGACAGCATCGTATCGTCTGCCGTGGTTCATCGTGAGGTAAAACGTTACTACATAAAACCCGATGTTTTCTTTTGTTCTTTTTTCTGTGTTTGCGACGTGGGAAATGTCAGAATGCGCGCGTTGTAAAACGTATGTGGAATGTTGCAAGAAATTACACAAGGGGGCTTTGTCGGTTGATTTGCTGGTCACAACAGCGAAAGAAGGGAGTTCGTTCATAGGACTGCGTCTGTGGGATGTGAAATTTGGTCGTCTTTTGACATAAATTTCGTGGTTCGATGTTGCTCGTCGCGTTCTGGGTCACCGTGTCGCAGCTGCCGTCCATTTGTGAAGCTATACGTGTGTGGAATGCCGCGTGTTTCCAATTAGGATTAATTTTGGGGAAGAAAGAGGTGCGTCCTCGACAGGAATTCTCAAGATAGCTTTCTGCAGCGGATTACTACAGTACACCGAAGGAGAAACTCTAAGAAGCCACAAACAATATGGCAACGTTTCTTACGTTCCAGTCGAGGGTTAATCGTGTGGTAACGCAATGTGTTTCATACTTTTATGCCCGCTTGTTCACCCTTTTTCGAAGCTTTGCACGGTGAGCGCTCCTTTTCATACCATATTCGAGCTGATGCTCGCTTGTTTTGAAAGTCATTAGTCACGCAGGCACTACTGTCGCATAACTAGTTCACAAATACTGCAATAAAACTATAGTGCTTTCTACTTCCCATGTGGTGAAAACGATGATGAAATATCATTATCTGCCTGATATATATATATATATATATATCAGGCAGATAATGATATTTCATCATCGTTTTCACCACATGTGAAGCAGAAAGCACTATAGTTTTATTGCAGTGTTTGTGAACTGGACACACGCGGCGGCGTGTGCCCAGAACACCTCCAACTAGATACATTAATTTTCTTGTACATTAAAAAGACAGCTAGGAAACGCCAGAAAGCCAAGGTGGAGTGGTGTAGAGGTTAGCACACCCGATCGGACATTGGGAGGCCCAGAGTTAAAATCCTGGCTCCGCCGTTTTTTGGCTTTCGGCGGGTTCCTGATAACTTCAATTCTTTGATTCATTGGATTAAGTACGGTTCATTCATCTGCACATATTCGTTTATATATATATATATATATATATATATCCGGGATCTACCCGCGACTTCTAAGAACGAGGAGGTAGCCCACCTCGTGGTTGGTCCTGTTCCGGTAGCGCAACCACTTGTGCAGGCCGGGCCTCCAGTACTCGACCATGAACTCCTCGGCGAACTCCCTGCCCTGGCCGTTGCCGAACCGGCCCTGGGTGGCCAGGGAGCTGACCACGTGCGCCGTGCGCAGGTTCACCTCCACGTACTCGTGCGTCTTGGGCGAAATCTGAGGCGCCGGGCACCAGGCTCCGCCGTTCAGTTCCCGCAGCAACCTGACGAAAGAGATTTAAAACGTGTAAAATTACGTCACGTACGCGGATACAGCCTCGTCAACTCGCCAAATGGTGCGATACAGCTCCAGAGTGAACGCGTTCGGGATAAAACAATGCTGCAGCCGTGTCACGCAGGGAACTCGAGGGCCACTTACCGAAATGACATTTGGCGGCAATCGATGAGCCAACGCGGTAAGCCGAGAGTATGAGGTTCCAGGCCCATTTCTCCTCTATCATTGCATTGCTTTGTGGGTTCTTATGAAGGCGAGGAGTCGCGAGCGCCACAATATATTATATTTTACATATTTACAAAAAAAGAAAGGAAATCAACGTGAAGGTTGTTCGTCCGTAGGTAAGGCCGAACACTGGCTCACTCTCGTGCTATCTATATTTTTTGCGTGCCTCTCGCGCATCCCTGCGTCCTCTTCTTCCTTGTGACCGTAGATCCTACAGCTTCAAACTTCTCCGGACGTTCAAACGCCATTTGGTTCGTTCATATTTTAAAATTGTCACTCAGCCGCCAAAAAAAAAAAGAAAGAAAAACGCAAATTGGATAAAATACTTCAGCAGTTATTTTTCTACTAATCATCGGCCAGAAAACTAGCTGTTGAGAGTATATTGAAGGGGCTGGGGAAAAACAATGTCCACGGTAAGTCTAACAAAAAAAAAAATGAGTAACATGCATTTAGGTATTATTGAGATTCCTCTCTAATATCCAAGTCCTTCTTATTGAATTTTCTTCGAAGCTCAGTGCCACCCGTGCTTCAAAGAGAGCTATGCAGAACACTATTAAGAAAATCAAAAATAAAATAATTTCGCGAGGCTGGATGAAGGTGCTTCATGAACTTCTGTCTACAGAGCGTCTCTATTGCGGTCATTTCATATCTTCTATTTGGGGCATCAGTGTTTTCCTTTCTTTTCCTTCTTTTTTTTTTTTGCTGCCAGGGTGTTTTTTTTTTTAATCCTGGTTCCAAGGATATGTGGCAGGAGCCACATCTTACTTGTCTTGTGCAACAGCAGTGAAACTAGCCCAAATGTATTTGCTACAGACTATTAGTAATCGCTTTCGGCAGGCTGCCATCTTTGTTTCTTTGACTTTGGAATGAGTTCTGAACATGCGTATAGTGTCTCGCTTGCAAAAAAAAAAAACAGGCGCTACGATTGCGTTTCGAGTTTAGTGATTCGGAATTTGTCACCTGTATGATAATCACAAGAAAAACGCATACAACGTTATCTTTGGAATGTTCTATAGCAGATAAACTACCTCTTGAAAGGGCAGTTTAAAGTACAAACACACGAAAAGACACGAGACAGACGGGGCCGTGTCCCAGCAAAAATCCTTCGTTTTCATATATAAGCAAACTCTTGGTGTCATTAAATGTTGTTGCCAGTGGAAAGTTTGTGTTTGTCCGTCCCTTCTCGTTTTCTTCGTCAAGTTTAACCCTCGCTTTCGTCCGTACCGGATCTGTTTCGACTTTCGGGAGCAGCGTATGGATGCACGGGCGTCTGCACGTGCCTCCTCTAGCGCGCGGCGAGCTCTGTCTGCCGTCTCATACGGTCATACCCCCGTCCGAAAGTTGCTATCGCGTCGACGCAGGTGCCGCAGATCTCCTGCCGCGGCCCCCGATCCGCGGTGACGGACTCGGGAGACTCCAGAACCCTTATCGCGGCGGCATCTTCGCCGTCACCCGTGTGCGTCCCCCGTCGCCCGGAGGCGAGCAAGGTGCTTATTCGCAGATTCCACGCCTCCCTGGAAACCCATTAGGCTGCTCTCGCCCGCCCAAGTCTGGGGTTTCCTCGCTCGGCTTTGGAGAGAACGCAAGGCGCCCACCCGCACGCGCGCTTTCCGACAATCGGGTTTAATTAAACCGCATAGCGCGGTTGAATTAGATTCATTACAATCCGCCGAATCGAGGCGCGGAATTATGCCCACTGGTTGAAACGGACTAAGCTCTCGGTGGGGGGGATGGGGGAGAAGGGAGCCGGGGTTAACGTAGTCTGCGCAGCGTATGCTGCGCTGTCTCCGCGAGTTATCCCGTCGCCCGACAGGCTTCTCTATGTAAATGGAGCGCGTTCGAATTCCCGCGGTTTCTTGTGAGGTGATTCAAAATCAAATACCAAAAGTAGCACAGTTTTGAATAGTCGAGAACCATATATCTGGAAGACATATATGCTTCATATGAAACCAAAGTTGCAGTGAGCGCGTTAGTAACGATGAAAGCGCCAGAAAAAATAAACAAGCGGGCGGACAAGGCGAGACATCTTTCGTCGCGTCTTGTCTCTCCCTGTGTTTGTTCTTTCTGATGCTTTATATGAAACGTGGAGACCTTTAGACATACATTGTTCTTTTTGTTTTGCATCAATTTTCTTAACGATTAAGTGGGAAGCTTGTATCGTATTTATATTTCTAGAAAGGCACTGGAGCGTAAAGAATTTTGAAAGTATTAGTAAAGTTCGCATAAGAAAAATTATCTGTGTTGTTTTTGTGTGCGTTTTCTTATATTTCTTTTTAATGTCGTTTTATTCTAATGGAAGAATTGTTTCTCTCTTAATTTTCCAAGGAAACGAATATGAAAGGAACTTCCAAGGACGGGTGTCCAAGGGATTTGGTGCATGCTTAGATGAACTCGTCTTTGAATATTTAGATTATATCCCACCAATTCAGCCAGGCATATACGTTAGCTGAACCTTTTGGCTTGAAGCGAGCAAATAGTTCACTTTATTTTAAAATTTGTGTCAATACACGCAATATTAATCGCGAGTTTACCGGTAAGAACTAAATCCATTCATTTTTTTTTTTTTTGGGGGGGGGGGGGGGGGGAGAACAGTTATCTGGAAAAACACATAGAATGTAAAAGTACACAACTGAATGGCTTAGTTCTTTGATATACGAGAAATTAGAGGCTGGCCAAGTAAAGATGCTTTCACGGACGATTTAATTGAAATCGTTTCCAAGCATGATGTATTTGATATTCAGTATATCCATTTTCCTGCAGAGCTCCCTTTTCAATAGACCACCTTTATTCCCTCCACTCTCAGCCAACGTTTCGAAGCCGTGGGCTATTGAGAGCCAGACATTAATGTCAGCCAACGCACATCCGCCGTAACGTTTGACCCTTCTTGTTTTATAAAAGACAAGCGAGACAAACGTTACTTGTTTTCTACCGCAAATGAATATTTAGCATACATCCCCATTCGAGCTCCCCTAACACTTTAGCGGGCGGCATCCACCAATAGCAGTCGGCTTCATTCATCCCCCAAAAACCCAACGACCAAACTTGCCTCATGAAAGCCGGCCTCACTGCCTCGTTTAGTCTTTAATGCGGGCTCCTTTATGAGGCATTCGTCGCTACGCATTTAAACCCTCTCCTTCTATTTTTTTTCGGTATCCCCGTTTAGACAAGACGACGAAGAAGCTGCCCAGCGAAAGAAAGCCCTCACACACAGATATATTATGATCACGAAGTTGGAAACACAGAGAGCAGGCGCTGATCGCGCGGACCGACCCGGCACCGCGGCAATAACGCGAGCAGGCAGATATATGAATCACCGCGACAGATGTAACTCGGCCGTGGCATATATAAAGCCCGAGAAAAACGAGGGAGAGAAAAAGGGCGAGTGAGAGTGAGACAGCCAGAGCACACGCACAGACGCGCCACGGCTCGCGCTCGAGCGCAAAAGGGAAGGCGGTCAGATCAATAGAGACCGGGCCTCAGTCACTCCGTGCGTGTGCAGCGCACGAGCTCGCTTTATTATGTGCGTGTGCGCGTACGTGCGGACGGAGTTGCGCGTGCGCGGACGTAGGAAACGTTTTTGCACTCTTTCCTTTACTCCGTTTCACCTCGGGATGGACCGTAGAGGAAGGTGTACGAGCTACCGATAGAGCGCCGCGCGAGAGTCGCGTGACTCTGACGAAGGGGGGCGCAGCGACGCGAGGTGCGCACGGTCACGTGATAGGTTCAGAGTGCTGGGTTGGCTGGAATGGCCTGTAGCGTCCACTGCGATCCACCGTAAAGTAGTGAAACAGAGTATATATCGCCCTCCGCCTACATGCGAGCGTGCGTGCGTGAATACGTGCGTCTGTCTCATGCGTTCTTTTTTTTTTTTTTTCATCCATACCGTTTTCCTTTCTGTTTGCACATCTTCCGCGCACATCCGCACGCCGCACACACACCGTCGTTCCGTTTGTTCTTCGTGCCGCGGATTCGTCCACTATCTTTGTACCGCTAGTTTTTTTTTTTGGCAGGCGTGTTTACGCGTTTGTGGCCCGTGTCGCTCAGAAAAGTTAGATTGTATGTGCGTGTTTGTGTTAGCGTGTCGGGTTATGTGCACGCGCCGCGTGACAGTGTTGCCGCCGGTCGATCGCTCGAGTAGATTCTACGCTAACCGAAGAGACAGGAAACTAAAAGAAAAGCAAACAAAGGAGGGACTCGCGCGGGGATGGGGAAGTGAAACCCCGAGGTCTATTGGCGTGTCAGACGTGGGAGCTTCATTTGTGATTCGTATCTGACGTGTATCGCTGTCCGGACTCATTAGAATGCAATAGGTATAGCGCCTTGACAGATTGCCGAGAAGGGGGAAGAGGGTTGATGGACGAGGCCGGGCGCCAGAGGAGCCAACTAAGTGGATACCAATCGCGGTAAATCGAAGAGTTGCTTATGTTAATGGCGGATAAAGAGTGTGAGTGGCGTGAGAAGGTAGTAGGCGGTGGCCCAACGAGGCGTGAGCAGGACTATACTTTGAAGTTCAGCGAATCATCGACTGTTCCGTAGGTACATTGCGGCGGAATTTTGATTATTTCCCTCTTCCGTATAGTTCAAAAGATGGTCTCCGTAGAAGGAAGTATATATCTAGCAGAAAGTGGTGCTGATGGCAAATGAGCACAGTGCAAAGAAACAAATACATTAAGTCACAAATACGCTTCGAACTTCTTCCAGTGGTAAAGTTATCAGGTGCATACACGAAACTGGAAGTAATTCATACTACTTTTTGATGTAGTC